CCACACCCACACCCCAATCGTTTAATCAAATATTTGAATAAAAACCATGTCTATGATTACAAACAAAATTAAATAAGTTTTATAAGGTAAAGATAAATCTTTTGAATGCCGAGATCAGTAGAAGATATTAAATAGAAAAATGCCATTTTAGAAGATTGAAAATCATTGCAGCAAATCATAGACTGCAACTGGATTGAATTATTCAGTAATTCGATTTGACTCAATCGAATCGAATCGAGTATAAATGTAGATGCTATCGAAGCAAACTGAATCGAATTCAAATCGAGATTTTCTTATTCATGTCGATCTCTGTAGTGAATAACATAATTCTGGTCATGAATGTTTCAGATAGATAATAAATTTTTCAGAACTAAACAGGATTTAAAACTTTTTCTTATTTAGAGCTCGATCTCAATATGATATTATGAAATCTGTAAATGATCTATCAATTGATAGAAAAGATTTGAAAGAAATTGAAATGAGACGTGAAATTAATCCATGTACATATCGTTCAGCAATAAATCTTGATCCCAATGCCTCATCATCTTCAACATCAATGTCAATTATAACATCACTTGGTGTTATTTTACATGAAACTGATGCAGAAAGCAAATGTGGTCGTGAACAAAAACAAGCATTAAAACAAAATTATGATGCAACTAAAGCAACAAATATTGAACGTCTTTCTTGGTTATCAACTAGTCATTCATCAACAGAACAAAGCGTAAAACATTCCCGTGGATTAAAATACAATGATGTTAATACAAATTCATCTGATTATGTATTTACAAAAGATAAGAATAGTTATGAAGCATATCCTGTTCAAAATTGGTATACATTTACACAAACGAATGTTCATAAAACAGTTGATTTTGATGAAGCTGAAAAACAAAATCAAGAACGATGTAAACATTTAGATAAATGGTTTCCAAAACAACAAGCTATGAAAGAAAAAAATACTGAAGATGATATTCAAAATAATAATGAAAAAGATACAAAATCAACAAATAAAAATAAACGTGATTTACAATTACTTGATGCTGAAGAGTGGATTCATGAAAACGACGAAAGTATAAAATGATTTGAAAAGACTTTCCTTTTTAAATTTCAGTTTTAGATGAATATGATGTTGACAAACGGAGTCAAGATAATGATAACAATAATCCAAATAAAAAATCTAAAACAAATAAGAAAGATAAAAAAAAATCAAAATATATACGGATGCTATGTGATAGTGATGAAGATGAATCTATTAAAAAACAAGTGAATAAAACAAGCACTATGATACGTCAAACAGAAGAAGATGAAAAAAAGATTCAAATGATGCTGATCATGAATGTAAGAATTCGCTCATCACAATCAAAATTTATGTGTTACTTGAGATAAATGTATCAAAAATGAGCAAAACTTCAGAGAGTTTTTATAGAATCAGTAAGAAGCAAAGCAATATATATTTGATCCAATTCAAAGGTTTTTAACATTCTATAATTACCTAAATGGCTCACTCTCAAAAGAGATACAATTTTATTCTAAGATAAATGACACTAAAGAGTTCACTATTTAAGTTTTTCTATCGATATTTTTAACTTTATCTATAGCTATTGGAGTTTTCCTACAGTCGTTTAATTTTTTCTATAGCTATTTAAGTTTTCCTATAACTATTTAATTTCTCTGTACCTATATAAAATTCACCATAGTTATTTAGTTTTTCTCATAGGGATTTGAGATGCTTTGTAGCTAATTAATCTTTTTCCTAGATATTTTAATTTTGGTTATGTTTTTTAAATTTGTATATGGCTATTTAAAGTTTTATATACAGTATTTGAAGTTCATTTGTGGCTATTCAGTTTTATAATGCCGGTTTGAGTTCTGTCCGAGCTGCTCGAGGTTTTTGTTATTCTTTTCTCAACTAGCGACATGCTCGTATAATATTAGTATATATATTTAGTGAGATGTATAATTTGGTTTTTTTAAATTTTGTATGGTGTATTTTTGTTGACGTATTTTTGTTACCGGTGGACTCTATCGTAAAGAATTAGCAATGCACGGATGTTTTTTTTCTAGCTGTAGTAGCTCTTTCAGTTGGAGCTTGATGCTTATTAGGGAATGTAGTTTTTAAATAGTTTTGTAGAGGTTAATAATTGGGAACCGAGCATTTTCAATTGCTAGTAAAAAGGTTAAATGTTAATTCATGAAATAATGCATTCAATGATGGATGACTTTTGAAGAATTACTTACTCCTTAGAGCAAAGGATTTGGAAAAAATGTGTAAAAAGATAAGGATGAAATAATTTGATGATTTAAATTGCGAAGCTTTTTCATGTGATTTCTTGGTAGATATGGAAACGAGGTCTAGAAATGTCTGCAATTGTGGACATAGATTTTAATTATTCGTTTGAGTGATGTTCAAGAAATGAAATCTGCTCCTAAGTTATCAGGAAATGATAATAAACATGATTTTTGGATAGTTGAAATACAACAACACAAAAGAGTAATGAAAATCGTCAAATTCCAAAAAAAGATGGGTTTGATATATTTTCGAGATTTCTTTGAATATTATCTTATGAATTTTATTTAATGTGCCAATCAATGAATTAAGTTAAACGGAACGAAGTTACTAATGAAAATTATTGAGAATATTCGTGGTTTTTTTTACTTGATTATTCCTTTTGAAGTAGATAAAAAGTATGGAAAGCATCATTATCTAATTATACGTCGTCAATAAATTATAGAACTTGTCATTTTAGTAATATAAAAATGGTAATCAGTAATTTATTTATGAAATGCTTCACTCTAGTTATATGCCAATTGCAATTCAAGGTTTAAATGAATTGACTTATAATTAATACTTAAGTACTATAAATTTGATGTAAATTTGTCTATCCAAATACTCTTTTTGATAAATTCATCTGTTCCAACAAAATAATCATTACAATAAACTTTTTTTTAGATATATTTAGTGAGATTTTAGTAAAAAAATTAGGATACATAACAAAGAATCCAACATTTACTTTAATCGAAAATCGCTTGCCATTCATAATAAATTGAGATAAAAAAATAATAATGGATGACTAAACTTAATAAGTTCATGAAAATTAGTAATTGACATTTATAGTTTCATTAAAACTATTCCATTATTATTACTTTTTTTTTTTAATAGATGACTACCTTCATATAAAAACAATTATATTTTATCTAGGATCAAGAATAGTCATACAACTCTCAATAATTAACTATTCGTTCTAAATTTCTGAAATCAAAATTTTCTATCGCTAGTCATCAATCTAATTGATCTTATATCACTGTAGATGAGTTTGAAAGATTACAATATCTATCTGAATGCCGAAATAAATATTCAACCTTTAAATCAATATGCAAGTATTTAGATTTCTATGAAAAATTTGAGTAGTTATACAAACACATAAATACCCATACAAATATGTAAATAGCTATGGTAAAACTTAAATACTTATGCAAAATTTAAATAACTGTGTTAAGTTAAATGGCTATGCATAAGTTAAATAGCTATACAAAGCTTAAATACCCATGAGAAAAACTTAATAGCTATAGATATAGTTAAATAGCTATAGCAACAACTTAAATATCTATAGCAAAAGTTAAATAGCTACGAGAAAGATTAAATAGCTGTAGAGAATTTTAAATAGCTATGCAAAATTTAAATAGTTACATAAATAGTTAATCAATTGTAGAAAACTTAAATAGCTATACAAATATTTAAATAGCTGTATGCTTACTTAAAAAGTATTTCTATTGAGAGGCTGCGACCTAAATAACCTTACAGAACATCAACATAAATCACGTAGAATTACAATTGTGAAGTGAACTGTGCAATCAATCAATTACAAATCATTTCAGTTCTGTATTTTGCTTTCGTTTTAGATAATGAAACTGATTACACAAGTGATAAAATGTTTGCAAAGCAAGCTGATATTAATGGTAAATATATATTACGTTGTTTTTTTTACAATTCAATTGTTTTATAACGGATGGAGCATAATGAATGGCCGCTTTTCGCATTATACATTTTCATCAATTAATACGTTTTATTAAAACAACAAGATATAGCACAGGATGCAACGTGAAAAGCTCTACAATTTACAAAAGACAACTTTTCGTACAGTTACACTTTTTGCTTTCAAAATCGACAAAATTTGAAGCGATCACATTTCGACCGTACGAAAACTGATCGTCGAAAATTTTGCTTTTTTTACAAAACAATTACAATAGGCTGTCTCGTGTAAATAGTAGTTTTTCTCGCTGCATCTAGTGGTATAATTTGTTTTTTTTAAATAAAAGATATCAGATCATAAAAACATAAAATAAGAAAAAACGAACTCATCTTTTATCAAAAATAATACTGTTTTCGCATGGTCGAAATTTGATTGCTCAGCTGATTTTTAAAAACAAAAAGTGCAACTATAAAAAAGTGATCTTCTGTAAATTGTAGAGCTTTTCACGTTGCATCCTGTGCTATATTTTCTTTTTTTAATGAAACGTATTAATTGATGAAAATGTATAATGCAAATAGCGGCCATTCATTATACCCCATCCGTTATCTAGATGCTGATATAGTTTAATCATCAATGAGATATGAAGTTAAAAGTTTGTTATTCGTTTTTTGAAGCAGAATTCGAAAAGATTTTTTGAATTATTTGTAGGGGTTGATGAAGAAATAAAAAAAAATGTCAAATATAGAAAAAAAACCTGAACAACACGTTTAAATATCGAAAACACAAAATTATCAATGGAGAAACATGAATTAAACTTAATTGACTTTGATTCACTAATGAACACTTGTGTATTCATATAATATGTTATTTTTTTTTCTTTTGTATAAATAAATTTAGAAAAATAAAATGTACAATAAAGTAAAAGAATAAAGATTATGTAAAACAATAATTTTTGTTTAAAGTATTTAAGTGTCAAAAAGAAGCAAATTATTCATTGATTTATCAGATTTAATTAAAGACACAGTAACAACAACTATTGATTTCCTTCAGATTAGTGAACAATCAACTCTTCATTTTCAATTGCACATTAATACTGAATGTACTGCAAATTTAAATGCTTCGGAAATACCTAAAAAATGAATTATTTAGTAATGAATAAAATCAGATTTAAGTTAAACATAGAAAATTGTATCAAAACCTCCTTCGTGGTAATCAGGTTTTCTGGAAATCTTAATGAAACCTAAAATAATTTTATAATATGAGCTACGAAAGAGCACACTTTAGACAATAGGAATCCTAAGTTTCGCAGTAAATAAGTGAACATCTGCAAAGAGATGAATAGATCAAAAAATAGTGTCTATTTGTACTCTATCACATCGCTAATGACGAATAAGCTTAATTTTTTGAAAAATCTAGGCCTATTCGGAAAAAACTTTGGATAGTGGTTCTGTAGCCTCACTGGTCGTCTACAGAATGTACTATTTAGTTTTCAAAACCATTGGCTCTCTCCGCAGTTATTTTCAATTCAAATACATACATTAAACATTTTTGTTGTTTTCAGGTCATGTCATTAACGCTAGGTTTTCTTAGTGGTAACTCCTCTCAACAAAGATTTATGGAGCTGATTTTTTTCAGGGTATATAAAGTAACTTAACATATATGTAGCATATAAAAATTAGCTCTAGAAAAGTTCCTTATCCAAAGATATACATGTTTTAATTTTGCGACGTCCCGTCGCCAACGAAAGATTTTGCCCATATATAGAAAAACTATAGATTATTGAAAACAATACCAATCCTATTAATTTTCATATAAAAATTAACTCGAAAGAAATAAAATTATATTTATATGCAGAAAAAAAGAGATCAAGGAACAGTATTTAAAAGAAAACAAGTCCGTCTTGATTGCGAGGAAATAACCAGTTTAATACATTTGATTGATACCTTTATTCGCAGGTCAGGCATAGACTTATTTGTGGTAGAAAAAGGAAATAATAAAAATGACTACAGTGCAAAAGATATTGAAAAGCATTTCTTTTTATTAGGAGAAGACACTTCTTGAGAAAGATGTACTTTTGCTAAAAAGAAAACAACTTTAACAATTACAGAAGGATTGAGAACAAAACAGAAGCATATTAAAGATAATTGTAGTCAATAACGAACATTAGGTTAAATAATCAGAAACGATGAGCCGTCAATCAATATGAACAAAAATATTTTGTAAAAAAAATTATGATAGCCTATTGTCTGAAACGATTTTCTGTTTCTTTGTCATCTGTTGACTATCTTTTTTGACCTATATGATCATCCATCATACTTGATGCGCGTACACTAGCCTGACCATATCATAGTACGCTTAACGTGGATGTCACTTCGCGGGAATCAGTCTATATGAGCATAATGTACACCGTACTAA